CAAGAGAGCAGTCTCCTCCCCTCTACTTTCTTCCTTGGGCAACTAGGGTGCAGGCCACCTGCCAAGAGCAATGTTTTAACATCCTTGACATGGCAGTGTTGAGCATATCCTGGCTGGAACTTCCAACATTTTCTGGAGAGAAGGGTTTGAGCCTCAGCCAGGAGGGAGGACACATAAAAGCTCTGCTTTCTTCGAACATAGTATAAAGCAGCATAACGAAAGCAAAGTGCCCTTGTAACTTCCGTTCTTCTCGCACAGGTCTTCATGCCATACTAGATATCAAAGCAATTAAAAGAGCATTGATTGCAGGCCTGGAGAGGAAGTACGGTACAGCTTTTCATCAGCTCCATAAACATCAGGGCAAGGAACAGTGCCACCTTGAGGCAAAAGGCGGCAGATTTCATGTAATGGTAGGTAGAAGGTCATGAATTAAAATGTTTACGCAGTAAAAACCTAGCTGAAACTGTCAAAATGTCAATGGTGGTCAACAAAATTTGAAGTTTCTAGCCTGAAACTGAAACTGATGTTTGCCTTAAGCAATTAATCATTCTCTATTGGATATAGTCACAGTGTAGGAATGTCTTTGAAAAATAACATCACAATCACTTTATACTTTATCCTCATTCAATGGGCGCCCCCAAGGAGGACCTCAGGAGAGTCCCAGCATTAAAGGAAAATCTTGATTATGGTGTCTACCAATGCCTGCTTGACCTAAGGGTCATATACAAGAGGTATGGTTTGGATTCAGCTGAAACATGAACTAAAACAGGCTGCGTAGGCAAATTTGGTAGATGTCCAAAGCCCTAGGTAACAAGCGTATTTGAAGAATGACTTTGGCCAACATGAACCTGATTGAATTTTAATATCACCAGCAGAGGTCCATTTTTGTGGTCCAGAATTGTAGATGATTATGTCAGAGAGAGAGAAAAAAACATCCAACCTTTAGAATTCCTTGCCCGAGCAGATCTGCCCCAAGGAAGCTATTAGATTCCAAAATATTTACAACTGGAGAATAAAGTAGAAATAGGCCTGTAAGTTTTTATCAATTTATTCTTTAACCAGGGAAACTCTTTAAAAATTACACTTCTCTTCTGAAGCTCTTTTAGTTCTGATATTTTATTGTTACACAGAATGGAAAAATAAATTAAAGTTCTGCCTTCCTTGTGGGACATGGTGCTGCTGCAGGCTAAACCACAGAAGCCTCTGTGCTGCAGGGTCAGAAGACCAGGAGTTGTAAGATCGAATCCACACAATGGAGTGAGCTCCCGTCACTTGTCCCAGCTCCTGCCAATCTAGCAGTTCGAAAGCATGAAAAAATGCGAGTAGATAAATAGGTACCACCACAGTGGGAAGGTAATGGCGTTCCATGTTTAGTCGCGTTGGCCATGTGACCACGGAAACGGTCTTCAGACACACGCTGGCTCTATGGCTATGAGACGGGGATGAGCACCGCACCCTAGAGTCCGACACGACTGGACTAAATGTCAAGGGGAACTTTTAAGGTACTTTCCTTCTAATGAATGGTTTTAAATAATAGGTTCCAGTATTTGGCATTTTTCACTTTGAATAAGACTGAATGTTTCAAATACTACTCCCTAAACTTTACAATGCTCTGTAAAGCAAGCCAGGGCTATTCCAAATTGTAGAGGGAATCTGCATCTCAAAGAAAAACACTTTGGTTAAATCCAGCTATTTGAGTTCACAGCAGAAGTAGCATTTCAACTTAGAACTGCCTACTCAACCATCTAGTCTCCTGGAATTATAGCTCTTCTGTCCATAACTAAAAATGAATCAACACTGAAGTATTGACTCTATGCACTCGCGCATTTGATTAATTGATTCATTTTAATTGGTTGACAACTGTAATTGCAAGGGATATAATTCAGCATTTCTTAGACATACACACTCTCTGTGCTTTTTCACATCCTGGTCAAGGACTCAATATAATGACAAAAATTGCAGGATGGCAAATAAACAATGTGTTGACTATGAAGGCTCCAAGAATTCTTGTATCCACCATTGCAAAACCAGGTCTTTGTTGGCATTACATCACAACTCACATTCATGAAGATCAGGAACCCAGCTATTGACACAGACCCTGTAGCATTCCTGCATCAATCACTTATGCTAAGAATGTTGGATCCCATGCGTTTCTCCCAGGAAGTGATTATCTAGTGACTACGACAAAAGCGTCTTTGCTAGATGCCACTTCTTCTTGTACCATCATACAGCCTGGAGTGGATGCTTGAAGTATAATGTCATACTATACACCAAGACTGTTCTCCTGTATGTAGTTGGGCTTCCTGTACTGGAAAAAGGCATGAAAGATAACAGAAATACAAATCATTCTGCATGATATTGTGTTGGGCTTCCTGTACTGGAAAAAGGCATGAAAGATAACAGAAATACAAATCATTCTGCATGATATTGTGTAACCTTCAGTAATTGAGTATGGCTGACAGTCCTTAAGAGTACAGATATCTTAATGGTGGTTGGTCTCAGTCATTCAAAGGTCACTGATAAGTGATTATATTCAAGCACAGATAAACTGATTAACAGATGTAAGGTGTGGGGGATTCCTTTGCTTAAATAAGGTATAATGGAAGAGTATGGTCCACAGTTCCAGTAGGTTCAGTATGATTGATCAGACAGGGCAAAATATAAATAGAGAAAATTGCCCATACAGTAAATATACAATTAGTTGTTAACACAGGTAAACTTCTTGTTCGGCCAGACAAAACTTATTCATCTTCAAGGTGCTATGTCCCTGTTGTTTCTGCAATGCCCTACTGATTTTGCTTTCTTGAGTGAATATTTCAGGATACAGTAATTCACATGATCAGGGATTCAGCAGAACAAACAAGCAGTAGCTCTGGATGGTATGTGTGCTCTTCCAAGAAAACAGCAGTACCCCAGTAGCTTCATGTACCCAACTATTTGAGGGCATCTGTTTCAGCTAGATGTTTTTAAATGTTACTTCACTGGTCCAGTTCAGCTAGCCAAAAATTCTCTGCACACACACAAAAACTATATGGATATGTAATCTCAAATATTAGATGGAGTTACTTCCAGGTATAGCTATGTTTGATCTGAATGCCTTAACACGCTGCCACATACTTACAGATTATCGACAACACATACGTGTTTACACAAGTGTTGATATGGATTTTGCAGAAGCTACATAAAAGCACTGTGAAATATGAACCTGATGGGTATTTTTTTAAATATTGCTATCCAATATAAGTATATTCAGATGGAACAAATTTAGAACATCATACCCAAATGTACACACGATTATGTACATGTATCTACATATGTGACTATGAGTTAGTTTAAAAGCCATTGCAATCCTGATTAACACTATGGTATGAGTTTCAGGAACTATTCTGTGCTGAAGAAATGTTGACCAAACAAGACTCTGTCCGATAATCTCTGACACTGAATCCGATGGCCCAAGGTTTAAGTACATGTAGAAAGAAGCCCAGCATCCCTTAAGAAGGAACAGAGCTCAATGGCAGACAACCTGCTTTGCCCTGGATGGATGTCCTAGTGGAATTGCAACTAAATAGTAGATCACGTACAGTGGACACAGACTTTCCTCGACCTCAGTCTTTGACATCTGCCACTGAAAGAATCTTAGGCAGAGGGATTCTGCCTGGTAAGATGACTGCGTGTTATCTTGGAGAGTTGTTACAGTTAAAGTACACAAAACAAGGCTAGAAAGAAAAATAGTCTAACCTAATTAAAAAAAACCTGGCATCCTATGTTCCAGCTGCTGCCACGTCTAGAGAAAAGACCTCAGGGAAAAATTAAAAGGACTGGGAAAGTCTTCACTAGAAATTCAGGAGAGCTATTCCTCATAGTCAGTGTCTGACTAGATAAGGGGTTGGCAAATTTAGATGGAGGGGGAAAATCCCAAGAGATTTTCATCTCTCTTTAAATACTGACAGGCTGTACCCACTCATTCTCAGACTTTTTGAAAAAGCAAGGTGTACTGATTATTAATGCCCCATAGCACTTAAAGCACAAAATGGGTGTTTTACAATATGATTATGCAGGCTACACATGCCCCTGCCCCGTAGCCAGCAAACTGAGTACTCAATTTAACAGCCTTGGAATGAAGGCTGAGTCAGCCTTGAGCAGACTACCTCAATCCACTGGGATTAAACACAGGCCATAAGCAGAGTATTGACTGCACTACTGTAGTTTAATCACTGCTCCCAAACCATCTGGTCGGCTCTTTTGGAATTAGAACATGCTGGAAGGAAGGAATTAGCCTTCAAATGAATAATTGCATCCCCTGGAAGCTTATGAGGGGGGAAATGGCAGGTTTTTTTTTTTACAGTAAAACTTTGTTTTTGTATGAGAGGTGTTGGGGGCACACATGCTGCAGTCTGCTCATCCCTAGAATGGAAAGAATAATCTGACCTGATATAATACAGCTCTATGGCTGTGTTCAGTTGCTAATTGTTTTGGTAAACATATAATCGGTAGAGGGAGTACTCTAGCTCCACTGCTCCATCTCCATTGCCCCCACTCACCAACACCTAGGAGGCAACAGGTTTAAAGAGGGAGAACACCATTATTTATGGACACTCCTTCATGGAAGTTGGGACCTTGATCTTCCAGGGTCTTGACTCATGCGGAAGGCTCCTGGAGACAGTGGTACTCCCCCCCCCCCGCACTTCAGACTGCTTGCCTCCAATTTTAGGAGAGTGATGGAAAAAGAAGAGGGCAAGCTTACTCTCTTCTCTACTTGGTGAGTTTATCCAAATCATACTGCCTGAATATAATAATAGTATCTGGCTCTGAGCTAAAGGTGTTAAATGTCAATCCACTGCATGAGCATTGTGGTCTATCAGTTTTCAGGAAGTGCAATACACATATCTGAGATCTATACTATGGTCAGCCAAACTCTTTTTTCCTTGCACATGAAAACATAAATGCCAGGATAGATGGAATAGACATGGAATACTTGTATTTCCAAAGATCAATTACAATTTGAGGTAGCATTCCAATTTATTTAGCTGCAACTCAGCTTATGATGTTACCTGTATCTTGACAAACTGTTAAGTACAAAATAGAACATCTTAAATACATCTTTGTATAGTACTAGCTCAAAACCCTACCTACTGTTAACTATTTTGCAAGCCGAGTCACTCATCATAATATACAGAAATTCCCCAAATTCTGCAAACAACTTTTACCAACTGCCTAGTTTTTCTGTTGGAAAATGTCATATTTGATAGCACTTTAGCGAGTCAGTATTTTTAAAAATAAACTTAAGACTCTTTTTAAAAAGCAGCATTCAAGAAACATGATTAAAAGCAATCACAAGTAAATCAAGTACAAATGAATACTAAATACTTATAGCATCTTTTTTATTACCAAAACTAGTTGTTGCAGCAACTGTATTTAATTATTCCTTTTAAAAAGTCTTATTGACTGGTGGTAAAAGTCAATAAATTATCAATCTTGCACGTGACCTCAATTATCACTGTTTTAAAAGTGATAATCTGGTAGCATCTTAAACTTTTGCATGGGATTTTTTGCTAAAACAATCTGCTTTAATATGCTAACAAGTCCTGGTTTTTATGTATGACAATCCCTTCAAGTTGTACTAGCTTCTCCTTTACTTCTGAGGTACAGAATGCAGCCTTTTCAGGTGCAAGGCACTCAATACTGTACAGCTCCTCTCAATCTGAAATCCACTGAGAAGAAAGCCAAAAGGTATATAACCCACTAAACTCACCCACTTTAATGTTCTTTTTTTTTTTAAGCTAACAAGAAAGAGCCCACAAGTTCTCTCCATGCTAAATACAGGAAGCAATGAGTTTCACTGAACAGATGTTCAACCATATTCATAACATATTTAATCACATCAAAGATCCAAAAAGGAAAATTAAGTAATGACAAACATATATGCAAGTGGCAGCACATTTAGTTCATCACACTATTTTTCTCAGTGTTTCTGACAGCATCTAAAACTGTTTCAAACGTGTTAACAATTCCAGTCTGGATGTGCATCTAAAACTTAAATGGCAGATTTCTGTTTCAACTACAAAGCATTCCTTGATCACATCAGAAACTCAGGACTAGTTCTAGGAATCCTTCTGTTTTCTTAAAGTAGTTGTTTTGCTTTACAAGGCCATCAATATTTGTTCTTATAATGCATTACAAGGTTCCCCTTTTGACACAATAATTAATCTTCTTCATCTTCTTCCCCATCTTCCTCTTCCTCTTCTTCACCTTGGTCACCAGCTTCAATATCATCCTCATCTTCGACCTTGAAGAGAAAGCGAGAAAGGGCAAGGTTAATCACATAGTTACTTAATCGACTAATGGGGGAGGAGATCTTCAAAACTGTGAATTCTTTTTAAAGTACTTGCAAACTCATGGTGGCAGATACCTTCTTAGAAGCGGCATACCTTCTTTTTCTCCCCACACAGGCAAACAATCCTTCTAAGATGGTTCCTGCCTCCATACAGTATTAGGGCTCTGTTTTGTCTCCTACGTTACTTAATATCTACACAAACCACTGTGAGAGACTGTCTGGAATGGGGGCAATGGAGATGGAGCAGTGGAGCTAGAGTACTCCCTCTACTGATTATATGTTTACCAAAACAATTAACAACTGAACACAGCCATAGAGCTGTATTATATCAGGTCAGATTATTCTTTCCATTCCAGGGATGAGCAGACTGCAGCATGTGCGCCCGCAACACCTCCCATACAAAAACAAAGTTTTACTGTAAAAACAAAAAACCCTGCCATTTCCCCCCTCATAAGCTTCCAGGGGATGCAATTATTCATTTGAAGGCTAATTCCTTCCTTCCAGCATGTTCTAATTCCAAAAGAGCCGACCAGATGGTTTTGGAGCAGTGTCAGTAATGGACTGGATGAGGGTGAATAAAACTTTAATCCAGACAAGACAGAGGTGCTCCTGGTCAGTCAGAAGACAGATCAGGGAATGAAGTTGCAGCCTGTGCTGGATGTGGTGACACTTCCCCCAAAAACCCACATGTGCAGCCTGGGGGTTGCTCCTGGATTCATCTCTGAGTCCAGATGCCCAGGTTTTGGCTGCTGCCAGGAGTGTATTTGCACAGTTAAAACTAGTGTGCCACCTGTTCCTGTTCAGGTCTGATTTGCCCACAGTGATGCATGCCTTTGTCACATCCTGACTGGATTACTGTAATTCACTCTATGTGGGGCTGCCTATGGAAAGTGTCAGGAGACTTCTGAGGGTCCAAAATGCAGGCCTTCCTCTTGGTCCTGCCACCTTCACAGCTGTGTTTGGTGGGAACGTGGCAGAAGGCCTTCTCTGCTGCTGCTCCCAGGTTCTGGAATTCCCTCCCACAGGAGGCTAGGCTGGCCCCGTCTTTACTGTCCTTCTGCAAGCAGGTAAAAACCTTTCTCTTCTCTTTTCCTGAGTGAATGGCTGCTGAGTGGGTTTTTTAAAATGGATTGTTGTACCCTAATGCATTGCATTTTAGTGTTGCTTATGTCTTTTGGTATTGTATTCACTGATCCTTTTAGTATTGTACAGTGGTGCCCCGCAAGACGGGCGCTCCGTTTCACGACGAAATTGCATCACGACAAAGTTTTTGCGATCGCAAAACGATGTTCCCTATGGGGAAATTTCGCTTTGTAATGATCGGTTCCCATGCAAAGCGATGATTTTCGCACAGCTGATCGGTGGTTTCAAAATGGCCGCCAGGTAAAAAACATGGCCACCCGCTGTTTTCTGGGACGGATTCTTCGCTGCACGGGCAGTGAAAATGGCTGCGCTATGGAGGATCTTCGCTGGACAGTGAGTTTTAAGCCCATAGGAACGCATTAATTGGGTTTTAATGCGTTTCTATGGGTTTTTTAATATCGCATGACGACGTTTTCGTTCGACAGCGATTTTCGCGGAATGAATTAACGTCGTCATGCAAGGCACCACTGTATACTCATTGTTATTGATCTTAAATACTGGCTTTTAATTGTTGTAAGCTGCCTTGGGTCCTTTTAAGGAGAAAGGCAGGTTAGAAATATTTTAAGCAAACACGTTTTTATATCAGAACTATAGTTTTACTCATATGCACCTTTAAGCAGATTGAATGCCTTCAATCTTATATATTTAATATTTGCTTTTCACACAATAGTCCTAATAATAAGAGCTGCATTAATTCTCCTCTTACAATGTCTGTGGCTGGCTCTTCCCATAATAGAATCTTTCCAAGTTATTAATTTATAGGGTCACCGTAAGTCAGAAGTGATTTGACAGCACAAAACAACAATAATTGCCAGGTATAATTCTGTGAGCAACATTAAGCCTTACGCTTGCTTTCAATTAATGTGCATCTTACCGGTTCTCCAAGTTCTTTCAGCTTATTCTTTAATGCAACTATTTTCTGATCCTGATCAGCTAGCAGCACCAGGAGGTCATCTTGTTCCTTTTTAGATTCTGCTACTTCCTGCTGCAATTTGCTTTTCTCATTTTGCAAAATAGCTACAGTACTATTGGAGGAGTCCAGTTGCTGTTTCAGGGATGTCTTTTCCTCACTGAGAGCTGCAAGTTCATACTGCCAAATTAATAAAAAACAAACAAACAACTCATTACTACAAATGAAGAAGCAGTGCTTCAAGAAATGGCACATTGTTTACTGCCAGACATATTAACTCAGTCATTTAATTTCTTTTACGATTGTAATTCCAGCACAAACAGGACTACGTAAAGCAACAGAATTTAAAGAGAGGTTTTCCTGTACTGCCTTAGGGACAATTAGATTCCACCTTTCTCTATTCATGTCAGAAGCATCAGAATGCCATTAATAAATATATCAAACAACTTTTCCTAAATAACAAGCAACATTAAGCGCATTTGGGGAATCTAACATCAAATCTTCCATGTTACATTTTGAGGAGCATAGAGAACACTGACGTAAGTATGAGGTTAGCCTGTTCTTCTCTGTGTTGATATGCCAGTCTCATATGCCTGGTTAATCAAAAAGCACACTGCACCATCAAGATCCAGTCATAAACTGCAAGAGTAAAGGCTTATAACAATTTGGAAGCAAACTGTCAATTGGTATACAGTCATGGTCAAAAAATATTGGCACCATTGCAATTCTATCAGAAAATGCAACTCTTCACTCTGAAAATTGTTGCAGTTGCAAATGTTTTGGTACTCACATGTTCATTTCTCTGGTTTCCGTTGGAACAACACAAAAAAAACCAGAGAAGAAAAGTCAAATCTGATACAATCTAACACAGAAACCCAAAAATGCACTGGCTAAAATTACTGACACCCTTAACTTAATATTTGGTAGCACCCCCTTTGGAATCAATCACTTCCTGTAACCATGAATGAGTTTCTTACACCTCTTGACTGGCATTCTGGACCACTCTCCTTTTGCAAACTGCTCCAGGGCTTTCAAATTTAAACAATGACTTCTCCCAGCTGCTGTTTTGAGGTCTCTCCACAGGTCTTCAATGGGTTTCGGGTCACTGTCCTGCTGGAAGACCCATGATCTCTGGTGGAGACGCAGCTTTCTAACAATGGCCACTACATTGCACCCCCAAATTCTTTGATAATCATCAGATTTTATGATACCGTCCACAAAGTGAAGGCATCCAGTGCCAGAAGCAGCAAAGCAACCCCAAAACATCTTGGCACCTCCACCATGTTTGACTCTGGGGACTGTGTTCTTTTTCTGTAAACAGTGTTGTGATGTCCTTGACAAAAAAACTCTACTTTTGTCTCATCTGTTCACAGTACATGCTCCCAGAAGGACTGTGGTTTTGTCACATACGTTTTGCATACCCCAGTCTTGCTTTTTTATGCCTTTGTGTCAGCAGTGGTGTCCTCCTGGGTTTCCTTCCAATAGCATCCCTTTTCATTCAGATGGCAATGGATAGTGCAAGCTGACACTGTTGCATCTTGTGTCTGCATATCAGCTTGAATTTGTTGGGAAGTTAATCTGGGTTCTGTATCCACCATTCCAACAACCCTTTGTTGTAATTTATCAGTAATGTTGCTCTTCCGTCCACGTCCAGGGAGGTTAGCTACAGTGCCATAGGCTGTCAGCCCTCTTGATGATATTGCACATAGTGGACACAGGAACATTACGATCTCTGGAGATGGACTGTAGCCTTGAGATTATTGATGTTTTTCCACAATTTTTTCTCTCAAATCCACAGACAACTCTTTACACTTCATTCTTTTCTCCATGCTCAGTGTCACACACAACACAAAGGTTGAGTCAACTTTTCTCCATCTTAACTGGTTGCACGTGTGATTACTATATAGCCTACACCTCTTACTTGCAACAGGTATGTCTAACTACAAATTAAAGGAGCATCTCATGCTTGAAAAGCCATTATTTCTTACAATTTAGACAGGGTGCCAATAATTTTGGCGAGTGCATTTTGAGTTTCTGTGTGGGATTGTATCAGATTTGTCTTTTCTTTTCTCTCTCTCTCTCTGTGTGTGTGTGTGTGTTGTTCCATCACAAACCAAAGAAATGAACATATGCACACCAAAACATTTGCAATTGCAACAATTTTCAGAGAGAAGGGTTGTATTTTCTGAAAGAATTGCAAGGGTGCCAATATTTTTAACCATGACTATATATATAAAGTGATAAGGAGCTTATGACATCCTTTTTGAAATGCTTATTTAGTTACTTCCTAAGCTGCCATATTCTCTTAGAAGTTGAAAAAGAGTTTCTAAAAGTACATAAAAATACATTGATATAATCTAAATCAATCTAACTTGGGTTTCAAGGATGAATATGGCTGTCAACAAAGCAAAACTGAACAGAACATTTAAACTAAAAGTAAGAAGCAACCTTTAATTCTTGAGTTTCCCGCAAGAGTGTTGCGAGCCTGCCTTCCAAGTCAGCTGTCTTTGCTACCGTAACCGTGCCATTGTCTCCTGATACAGGAATAGGAGTTACATTCTGAAAAATACAGAACACTGAATTAGATTAACAGCAGTCCAGACATATTTTTCAGTGGATCTGTGGTTAGTCTGTACAATGACATATAGGTAACACTAGATGGAATGAAGGATAATATATAAGTGATGCACCACAATGACAGAACATAGAAAATGTTTCGACTACATAGCTCAGAATCCCCAAGCCAGCACGACCATGCTGGTTGGGAAATTTCTTTTGACTATAGTTTAAAACAAAACAAAACAGTAACTATTTCAAACTCCATCCAACAGTTATATCGGAACAGGCCCTGGCTATTCATGGAGGATGGCAGACAGTTGAAGGAGATATGGGATTACTGTGTTTGTAGTTAAAAAAAGAGAAAAAGAAAGTAAGAAAGAAAACAAGGGGGAAAAAGAAAAGAAAGAAATACAGATATTTTATTGCTTCACATTAAGTGAAGGGCTTACAATATTACCAGTTTCTGGAGTAGTTCTTGCTTTTCAGTCTGCAGTTTAGTAATGTCTGTAGATTGAGATTGGATTTGGGTCTTCAAGGCTTCAACTTCCTGTTGAAAAAATGAAATCAATTTATCAAATTGTCTGTACTGTTTGTGAACATAATCTGACAGAGTCTCTGGAAGAGACTGTGCAGGAATCTGGAAGGCTTTCCAATTGATATGAAAATGACACCCTATTTTATTTCTCATAGACTGTGCAGGAATCTGGAAGGCTTTCCAATTGATATGAAAATGGCACACTATTTTATTTCTCAGTCTCATCAAATACCAGGAAGCTGTGAATGCCTTGACAAGTCAAATCTCAGTCTGCAAGTCAAACCTACATTTTGCGGCCAGAGAAGTCTGTAACTCAAAAAGTCTGTAAGTCAAGCCGTCTGTAAGTCAAGGGTCCACTGTACCAGGAAGCTGTGAATGCCTTGGCACTCAAAGTTGTAATAGACAGGTAGGGACTAATAAACTGAGGCTTAATCAGACAGGCCAGGACATCTCCAAAAGCAACAAGATGTTCCTACCTTATGTAATTCACTATCAGTCTCAGGACCGCTGGGTTTATTGGTCTGTGAAGACTGTTCTGTTGTTCCTCCAGATACTGGTAAGAGCTTCTGCAAATAGAAGATATTAACAAAAATACTTTTTTATTGTAAGGAGCATAAGTATTTTTTCCCAAAACATTTCTATCTTGAGAAACCTAGATTTCTCTCTTTTAAAAAATAAAATAAAAAAAAAACAGCCAGAAGGTTTATAGCCACTGTAAGTTCCATTATTTATGAGACAGTTCTCTGTGCCATCTTTGAAGATGGCAAGTTTCTGCAGCATTTCTAGTGACCAGGGAGGCTTTGTGCAAAGCCCATTACCATACTGCCCCTGAACAGGAGATACAAAATACATCAATCAGAATTGTATTGCTCAATGTCATGCACGTTTCTGCATTGTACACTTGGTCATGCGCATAAACCCACAACCAGTTTTGCAATCTAGGCATGGAATAGCAGAAAACACTCATCTGGTGCACACTGTTGGCATTATTTCCGATGCACACTGTGTGATACCCACAGGATTCTGGTCATTGTTGCAAATTCCCATACAACTGTTCCTGGTCAGATAATTTAGATTTTCTATGCAGAGTTTTTGAGAACACTTGTACACTAAGAGGTCTGCTATAAACAACAGCAGCTATCTAAATTTTTTTTAAAAAAAATAATAACTGATAAGTTTTCATGTTCCTGAACAATTATGAATCTAGTTGCTTTGGTGTTTCACTCCCATATTTTTTCACTTTTAAGAAGACAAAAAAAAAAAACAATAACTGATAAGCTTTTATGTTCCTGAACAATTATGAATCCAGTTGCTTTGAGGTGTTTCACTCCCATATTTTTTCACTTTCAAGAAGAATTCTATTTAATTTATTAGAGATCTAACATACTTCTGCTGTTATGCAAGCCATAATAGCTAATATAAACTTACAAACTCATTCTATTCCCAGCCTTTTCTCAAATGGAAATATGGAATTCGTTGCCTGCTTCACAATCTCTTCAAGTTACTCTTACAACCCGAAACTTTTCTGAGAATGCTTATTTTATTATTTTATGCTTTTCTGATTATTTCCATGTATCTATATTAGATGCCAAATATTTAAGAGTGAAAAGTGGTTTAATTTCTGCCGATGTGTACAGCCTGATTGGCTATGAAGCAATAAAGTATTCATACTTCTCAAAACAGAGTAGAAAAACCTCTGCATTTTGCTAGTTTTCTGTTGGGAAATGGAGCTGACCTCTATGTCAGGCCTGTCCAACCACTGGGGCAGCTACTTCTAACAGCAAACTAGGCTGAAACCCAGCCTATCCTGGACCACAAAGCTTTCTTTCCTTCCTCCAGATAAGCACAGTTTAGTGTTTGTCCATCAGTCTGTCTGTCAGGTGGAACACCCAGAATGGAGAAACCTGAGCATTTGTTGTTAACAAATATACTTTTAAATATTATCTGGCAACCATGGGACTCAACTATTGAGATCACAATCCATTTCTGGGTGTCTCCAATCTTTAAAGTTTATGTTAGGCCAAGTTTGCATGCTTGGTGATTTCTTTACCATATTATTGATGTCAGGTTAGGCCTGTCCTATTCTGTTTTTTGTTTTTATTTTCAAAGGCTTTAATAAGTGCCAAAGACTCTTTCAATTGATTTTTTTCTATCATGATCAGCTGGTTTTACCAGCAGTTTCTGTTATTTTTATCATACTATTTAATTTCATCATTGCAAGTTACCTCAAGTCTACTGGACAGGGATTTTAGGAATAAATATACATATGCTAATATGTCTGTACTGCAAGCCAAACTCCTTCGAACTGGTCCCCCGATCAGACCTGCCATTTATGCAGAGGGCTGTAAGTATGCTGAACAACATGTGATCACAAACTCTTGAGACCTTCCTAGTAACACGAGGAAACTCAGAGTGGAGTTACAGTGCATGTTGGCTCCATCTTCACATTTATAATGACCAGAATCCTGCTGCACAAAATGACTGCACAACAGTGATGATGTCATCATGTGCAAACATGCTGTAGCTGTCTCAGAGGAATTAAAAGCTTCCTATTCCCCAGCCCCAGGTTCCAGGGATCCATAAGGATCCTGTTCATCCTAGGGAAGCCTTTGGAATCCACAAAATGGGCAGATGGACTCTTAATGCCTGCAAATTTTTGCTGCCCATCTTGCTCAGTATGTGTTGCTGGCTCCCTTTCCATATTTACACTTTAGAACATCCAAAAGGTACTACCGAGCTACTGTGCAATATAATGAATAACGGGTTAGTTGTAGACAACTGCAGAACCCTTTCCCTTTGATACAAAGAACATAACAAGCTATATTCTGATTTGTGAGCACTAAAAAAAACAATTTCTTGAAATAATTCCACACTAGAAAAGAATGAACTCAAAGTTTTAGATTATATGTTAATTACTGGCATTTATTCTAGACAGTGTTACTTACCAAGGTTTCAATCAAAGAATCCTTTTCCCTTAGCTGTTCCTGCAATTGTTCAAGCTTATGCTTCCATTCTTCTATTTCCTCATGCAATTTGCTGATTTCTTCTGGCTGAACACCATTCATCTGAGCTGTATCACCATGGGAACTATGATGCTGATTGTCTTTTCCTGTTAGATAGATTTTTAAATGATCTGTTATAATGGTTATGAACAGAACTCTGCAATAATTTATAGTCAAAATCCATTTCAAACCTGTCCTTCCTCGGGGATATTGCTACACGATAGTTACATGCAAAGAAGGATAATTACACAGGCAAACCAAACTGGAGCAAATTGACTTTGCTGTGGCTTGTGTCACACCTTGGAAAAAGCAGAAGCCCCCAGAGGCAGAGGAAAAAACCTCTACTTTGAAAGCAAAAAGGGCTGGGCTGATTCAAACTGGCCTTTGTGTCATGTGAGCCATTAAAAAAATCAAATGCATTTGTTTTACTTCTGCAGCAAATCCTGTATGGTTTACCAGTGTGGTTGCAGCTTTAATAGAGTTCAGGGTAGGAGCAGCACGTGGTCAATTTATGGTGAGCTGCCCAGAGCAATATGATCGAATTTTTAAATGGCAGGATGGGAGGAGCTGTTGCCCTGAGTCTTAACCCTGCCTTCCTGGGGTCTGAATCTGGCCCTCTAAAGCCTCCCTGACAGTCATAACCCCTTCCCCATGACACCATCATTTAGTAGTTTCCCAACTTCCCTTTGTCTTACCATTCTAAAAGGCTGAAATGCCTCTCTGAAGGCTGAATTATTGGTAATAAGAGTACTAAGCTCACCTATGCTAGTATTTCTGGTTCTGAATTTTTGTGCTGCTCTCACAGAAATGGGGCCCTTGAGAACTTCTCTGAACTAAGGTTATACGGAGCTGGTCTAGGCAGGCTTTAGTTCGATCCTGTGAAGTACCTTGGCTCTTAAGGAAGAGGACATATGAATGAGCAGTTCATACACATTTTTATGAATTTATTTCTTACAAATTTTGTAGAAAAAAAAACTATTCCCAGAGGAGATGAGTTATGCCATAAACAGGTAGGAATTCTTGAATACTCACTCTTGTTTCAAAAAATATGGCACATTGATGAATTGTGTAAATTATAATTCAAAATTATAATTGAAAATGTGAGATCCACAATTACGCTTAAAATATGTCTCATCATTTGTATGAGAATCATTGTTCTTTCACACAGATGACAGCAATGAAGAATGAGTCTTTTTTTAAAAAAATCTTTGAAATATCAAATGGAATAATTACTTTCCCTAGTAATTTCTGTCTGGCTAACTGGTTAGAAATAACAGAAGTGGGAGCCAGGAGACGAGAGAAAACATGGGTTTCTCGGGTGCAGAAGGATCACACCATGCCCTTGAAATCTGTGAACAGTAGCAATTCTGTGAAATGCTTGAGATGGGAAAAGCAGCAATCACTGATAAAATTATGTTCCTATATACTGTGGACTGTTCCCAATTGCTATGGATCTGCGATTCCAGAGTGGATGTAATTATCCTGAACAAATGGAGTTTTGTTTTGAACCCACTCTGAGAGCAGTAACTACAGAAAGGGGCATACAGTATAAGAAAACTCAATTTGACATCCTTCTAATCCTATGGCTTCAGCCACTATACTCCAGATTTTTTATTTGTATCTGCCAAGCAACTGTTGTATTTTTGTTAACCCTAGCTCCTTTACTTATTCCAGTTCTTTGATCCTGCATGCATTAGGTCTGATAAGGAAACTGCTCTAAATCACTATTGACCCAGAATTCACCCACTTCTCTTTACATAGTCCCTGGAGTGAATCCAGGACCTATAAATAATTAAGTACATAAACACTGTCATCTGTTTGTGGCTAAGAACTGTTTACAAGATTCCAGAGCACTTAAAGCGATTTTCTGTAGATTTGCAAACAAAATGAATTCAGCACCAAAGATTCTTCAACTAATAATTACCTAGTTGTACTTTAAGAAGATTGTATTGGTCCTTGTGTTGCTGTATCTGTGATACTTGTTGTGTGACTGTGGTCTGCAGCTGTTCGTTCTGAACTCGCAAAGATTCCACCTGCTTCTTCAATTCTTCAAGCTCTTGATCCTTTAATGAAGAATTAGAACAGAATCTACTTATATTAGTTCCTTAATACAGAACTATATAGTCCATCCTATTATACTACAAAAGAAAAATTAAGCAGCTATATACATTTACATATAATTTATTAAATTATCAGTGGAGGGTGACAGTTTCTTGATAGTTTATGAGTAAAGAATAAAGAATTTTGCTAATGCCTGTGAAGATGATATTTATATAACAAACTGCCTCCTGTGTCCACTAATCTTTGCATTTACATCTTTGAACACAACTGTATTACTTACACAGATGCAAAGGAAAATGCTGGTTAATGCTGTGTGATGAATTAGTTAGCAGGACTGCCAATTTCCCAGGCAACCTGCTGTTTGAACAAAGGACTGAGTCCACTAATTCAGTTGCTTATAGCTACACTGCCCAGGTAAAGACTGATGTCATGATATATCCCCAATAAAGTAACATTTTCAAGCAAAACAGACACAGATCTTCATTGTCCATTAACCTGTCTTTCCCTTTTATGTTTGTATAATTTAAAATGTCTTTTTCTGGAAAATAAAAACTATTCATAGATATGTACAGTGGTGCCCCGCATAGCGACGATAATCCGTTCCGAAAAAATCGTCGCTATGTGGATTTGTCGCTATGCGGGGCAAAAAAGCCCATAGGAACGCATTAAAACAGGTTTAATGCGTTCCTATGGGCACAAAACCCGCCGTTATGCGGAAATCCTCTGTGCGGCTGCCATTTTCGCTGCCCAGTATGCAAGAAAAGGGCGCGAAAACACTGCGGGAGGCCATTTTTTCCGGCGGCCATTTTGGAACTGCCGATCAGCTGTTTTCTAAAACATCGCTATGCGAAAATCGGTAAGCTTTTCGCTAACTGATCATCGCAAAGCGATTTTTTGTCATTAAAAAGATTGCAATGCGATCACTTTTGCGATTGCAAAAAACAAATCGCTATGCGGATTCTTCGTTAAATGGGGCGCTCGTTAAGCGAGGCACCACTGTATGTATGTATGTATGTATGTATGTATGCATGCATGCATGCATGTATAAATGAATGAATGAATGAATGAATTGCTGGATAGCTCAGTGGTTCAGGTATGTGGCTGTGGAGCCAGAGGTTGGGAGTTCGATTCCCCACTGTACCTCGACAGGGCTGGACTCCATAGGATCCTTTCCAGCTATACAGTGGTGCCTCGCTTAACGGGCACTCCGTTTGACGATGAAATCACTAGACGTCAATGTTTTTGCAATCGCAAAAGTGATTGCAAAACAATGTTCCCTATGGGGGAATTTCGCTTTGCAATGATTTTCGCCCTGCTTTTCGAACGGTTCAT